CTAGATCCCTCGCATGTGCGGTTCACATTATAAGTTTGTGCTCCTATGAGAATTCAGTGCCAGCAGTCACCTGACAGGAGACAGAGCTTAGGCAGTTCACCTGCTGGGCAACCAGATTCATATCAGGCCATGGAGCAGGACCCGTCCATGGCCTGGGAGTTGGGGATCCCTGTTCTAAATGACTCCTCCTCTAAGGTATTTCCATGACATTATTTCTTGAACTAAAGAATTGAGGTTATGGTGTGTGTAGGAAGTAGGACGATCATAAAATGTCACAATGAAGAATGAGCTACCTTGGTTTTGATAATAATGTTTTTTTTCCCTGAGTACTTTATTGGATTATATTAAAATGACAGAATCATAAATATTAAGGTTGGAAATTATTTTAGTGATCAAGTCTTTCCTGAATGCTTTCTTTTTTGGACAGTCTTCAGTACTAGAGAGAATTTATCCTTAAAGTTGAAATCTTCTTTTTAGAAACTATCTGTTGTGGTCCTTAGGTTTTACCTCAAAGTAAGACTAACCCTTTAGTAGCCAAAGAACTCTTCAGTATTTCTAAAGTGCTGTTTTTGAGTGTCCCTTGCCTAGAGAGAGATTTGCATTCATTGAGCTGGTTCTCATCACAGAGTTTTAAACTTTGTTTGTAATTGCCCTTTTTTGTGGATGCTTATATTGATTGATTTTTGTGCTTCTCTCATTTCTTAGTTGGGCACTGTTACTGGTAAATTTTCTCTTGGGTCGTTGTAAAGAACTGAGGATAACATTTCAGTGGTGTTGAAAGGGTGAAATAATTATTTCTTTTACTTGGAGCACTGTGCTTCTATTGATACTACATAAAATTGCATTGGCTGTTTGGCAAGCATGTCAAGCCTGGTGTACTGTTTGGTTTCATTGTCCTTAATTCACTCTTTTTAGAATTAAGACAGTTTGCTTTCTTTTCTTTTCTTTTTTTTTTTTTTTTTTTTGAGACAGAGTTTCACTATTATTGCCCAAGCTGGAGTGTAGTGACACAGTCTCGACTCACTGCATCCTCTGCCTTCCAGGTTCAAGTGATTCTCCTGCTTCAGCCTCCTAAGTAGCTGGGATTACAGGCATGTGCCAGCATGCCTGGCTAATTTTATATTTTTTAGTAGAGATGGGATTTCTCCATTTTGGTCAGGCTGGTCTTGAACTCCTGACCTCAGGCAATCTGTGCACCTTGGCCTCCCAAAGTGCTGGGTTAACAGACATGAGCCACTGCGCCCGGCCAACGGTTTTCAATATAGTTTGAACTGTGATAATTTGTTTTAAAATATATTAATACCTTTTATTGTTATTTTCTTTATAACTGGAAGTGAGGTTATCCTCACCTGGCTTCTGTGTGAAACGATGCTAGTCCTAGTCATCAGTATTCCCTTTTGCGTATGTAGGAATAAGCTGTTTAGGAATCACTTCTAGAATTTGTCTAAAGAACTATGTTAAGCTCATATATCTTCTAGCATCTCTAGTTTACTTTGATTTCAGTAATGTTTTAGTGATCTCATTAATGGGGGTAGTTATAAAGGAATCTAGGTAAACCAGATGTGTTTATAATAACTCTTTATCAGTTTAGTTTATCCCTTCTTAATCATCCATGTTTGTTCTATTTTTTTAAGTGTAAAAATATTTTTTCTTGGCAGAGAGGTATGCTGAATAAGCATTAAATAGTACTTTCATTTTATTGACAAAAATGAACAATATTTGTCATTTACTGAGTGTTATGTGGCAGACTGTGCAAAGAACTCTATACTTTGTCATTTTTAGTAGTGTCAGTAATGCTATGAAATAGTGCCATTTTGCAAATTAGAATCTGAGGCTTGGGAAGAGTTTAAATAGCTTTCTCAAGGTCGCAGCTAGTGGATGCTGGAACTGGAACTCATACCCATACTTGTATGACTCATCAAGTCCATTTTTGTGCCTTTCAAGAAGTGGAGAGGTCTTTCATAAAGGAATGTGTAAGGTTTGTGCACTTCTTTCATTTCACAACATTGAAGGTCTGCCAATCTTGTTAGTTGGTGTTACTCCATATTGAGCTCTTTTCCCTGCTGACTGCTTGTACTCCTTTGGAGTTCCATATCTTTCTGGTGCTGTCTTGGGCCTATTCATAACGCAGTTTTTACTGCATGTCTGTTGTCTATTACTGATTATTTTAATTATCAATTTAGTTGCTAATATGAGAATCATCTTGTTATTAAAGTATACACACAGGCTTTGAACTTCAACCAGGCTTAAATCTTGGCTCGGCCCTACCACTTCCTAGATGTGTGACCTTTAGCCATTTACTTAATTTCTTTCTTCCTCAGTTTTCTTATCTATAACATGAGTATAACAGTACCTTTTTCCTAAGGTGATTGTGAGAATTACATGATAGGGTAACACCTGTGAAATAATTGGATTATTGACTGTCATGTAATGTTCAGTAATGTGTCATTAACTGGTCATGAGTTTCTTTTTTTTTCTTTCATAATTGATTTATTGGTTGTGTTGAGGATTTGTACAAAATTCTTAACATAGGTACTGAAAATCTAAAAAACCATGTATTGTAATTTTTAAAAGTTATTCTAATGACATTCCAGCTTAAAATTGGGAAGCAAATTTTCCTGAAGAGACTATCAAGAACCAGTATTTTCACATGTTGATAAGCTGTTACATAGGTCCCACCAATTCACAATATAATAGCATGCAGACTACATACTCAAATTTTCAATCTTCCACAGCGCGTTAACAAAGTTAATTAGAAAAACAGGACTACCACAACCAAAAATGTTACAGAGTGCACACCATTATGATGGGGCGAGCCATGATCAAACAGTGTTTCTCTTTAGGAAATAATTCTACTAAAAAATAATGTGGGAATAAAAGTAATTTAAAATGTTCAAGACATTAAATGCAGGACCATAACTCCATATTGCCATTTAGTATGCTTTGTATTGTAGGATATAAAAGCTAACCCCTCAACTATGGAATGTTAAGCTGATAATCAAGACAGTGAAACCCTCCCATAATTCAGTATCTCACACAAACTTGTATTTACAAAATAGTTAATAATAGTATTCCTCTGGGCTGTACAAGAAGGGAAATAGGGACCACTGATAAGACATGGTGTATTCTGACATTAATCCAACTTGGCTTCTTTCTTTCTGGTCTCACTAGAGGCTGGACTCTTCTCAGTTTTAGTTTCTTCATTTTGTGCAGGCAAATTTCTTTAGTTTCCTGCTTAGCCATGTTGGCCTGTTTTCCCTTGCTCCGCTTTTCCCTTTGTTCACATTTTTTTGTCTGAAGATTTATCCTTTCCTGCTGCCCTTTTTAGCTTCATTTCCACTTTTGCAGGAGCAGGTTTAGCTGACAACCACATTGATTCCCTCTTAGGCTGTTTCTTTGCCACCCCTATGGCTGAGCTGACCTGTGGGCTCAGTCTGCACGCAGAAGTAGCTGCCTGCCCTGTGTCTGCCTGGCCCACCCATTAATTAGTTTCTAACAATAATATATTTGTTTTAAATGAAGCACTAATCAGTAATGTACAAATAAATTGTCATTTTCTTGTTAAACTTATTTTCCCTCTGCGAACTTTCCAATATAATTTTGACTCTTGCCTTTTAGGTCTTCAGGCCATGGGCTTATATTAAATATTAATGTTACTATTGTTAATAATATGTGCCAGGCACTATGAAAAGCACTTTACATATATTAAACCCATGTTGTAGGAACCACCTAAAAAGCACACAAAATTATTAATGATGATGATGATTATTACGAACTTTAATTGCTTGTCCACCCATACACAGTGTTACCTCTTTTATCTTTATGAGACTATTCAAGGAGACAGTTATATAAGACCTGGTTATTCCATTAGAGGTTGTTTAATGAATCTGTAACCGGATTTTTTTTGGGTGTTGGCGAGGTACAGCTACCCCGAGAGAATGCTGTGGGTTCTTGGCCTCCTGTCCCTTGAAGAAGTGATGGGACCCCTGCAGGTGCACTGTATGCTCATAAAAGTAAATATTGGACCCAAGAAGTGCTGCAGAAAGGTGATTTTATTTAGGTAGAGAAAAGAGAAGGAAAGGAGAACAAGAGAAAGACTTCCACGAAGAGTGTGGAAGGAGATTTCAGAGGAGAAATCCCACCAGGTGTGTGGACACGGACTTTTATCCTGGGAGGAACCACCACCTTCTCCAAGACCCTGGGCCAATGAAAGGAGTTCATTAGAACTTCCGCTGGAGTGACTGACTTTTAGTTTCTTCCCACGCCCATGAAATTCAAACATAAACCGTTAAAACTCCTGGATGGAGAGAGTTGGAAGCAGGGCATGGCTCTGGGAAGTTTTTGCCTTTAAAACTACGCCCCATCATGGACCCAGAAAGAGAGCACATTCCCTCAAATCCTTCCGATTGAGGAAAACTAAATCATGCTGGAGACTTCCCTCTTTGTGTTCTTCGTTACCAACTAGATTCTTGTTGGATATGTGTGGGTACATATTCCCGTTGTTGCATCCTCTGACTATGGAGATGGTCTGTTGAGAAAGGCAAAATGAGAATTTGTCAGAAGGCTCTGCTTTTAGGTATCTGGATAATTGAGACCTTTATCTCTGTATCTTATTAATGGTTTTGTCATTTATGTGTCTTTCTGTTAACAGGATCACTTCTTCAATAATAGTCTCAGGTTGAGGGGGTATTGTTTGATTTGGCTGAAGGAACTCCTAGATGCCAGACTATGGGGGAGCTTTGATTTAAGAGCGTAAGTGCTGTACGTGGACATTTTTGACATACAGTCAAACTCCTGGAATTTCAGATATATTTTAGATTATGTGAGCTTTATTATTTATGTAAGGGTAAAGCAAATGATTTGTAAGACATTTATTTATTCCTCTTATTTAATTTTGTGGTTTTACAAACCTGCGAGTACAGTTTATTTTTTTTCTTAGAAATAAAGGAAATAATAAAGTAGGATGGTTGTTAAGCTCCCTTCTGTGTGTGTGTTTTTAGGTGGTATTAAAGATAATCAAACATTATCAAGAAGAAGGACAAGGAACTGAAGTTGTTCAAGGAGTGCTTTTGGGCCTGGTTGTAGAAGATCGGCTTGAAATTACCAACTGCTTTCCTTTCCCTCAGCACACAGAGGATGATGCTGACTTTGATGAAGGTAAGAGTGTTCATCACAAGTGTGTGTCTTTGCAGCACATACAAATGGATATTAACACAGTTCTCACTGTAACTTTTGATAATGTATGGATTGGGAGTATGTCAGGCTAGCCTACTTGCCTTGATTTCTAATATTTTGAGAAAATTATAAATTCTGAGAAATGAGGATATATACCATAGATGTCATTAGTTTGGCTTTCACTTATTTGGAATCTATGATTCTGATTTGTAATAGTTTGGGTAGGATCTGTGCTGATGTTGACTTTGTCAGTTTGTCAATATGAAGTCAGCTTGCCAAATAACTAAAGTTTTGAGGGACATAGATCATCTCATTGTGTCTGGTATCCATTCCCTTCTATCCTCTTTTGACTAAGTCAGTGTTTAGAAAGAGATAGAGTTCAGTTTTCTGCTTCAGAAGGAAGGTACCCCTCACGCATTTTAGGAATATTTTATTTTTGTACTACAGGCGTAATTGCTTTGTTAGCAAAGGCAGATAGCAGTTAAAAGCTCACATTAAAGGCCAAAGTCAACATCTAAAAGATTTTTAAAAAATCAGGTTGAAAATAACTTCTCACTTGTTTGAACTCTCAGGTTTCATTTTCTATGTAACTTTTTATTGTTGTAAAAAGCACATAAAAATTTTAAGTGTACCTTAAAGTAGTGTTAACTATATACATATTGTGCTATAGTTTTCTAGAAGTGTTTCGTCTTACAAACCTCAAAACTCTGTATCTATTGAACAATCCCTTTTTCCACTTCTTTCACCCCTGGCAACCACCATTCTACTTTGTGTTTCCAAGAGTCTGACTACAGATACCTCGTTAGTGGAATCATGTGGCATTTATTGTTTTGCGAGTGGCTTATTTTATTTAGCTTAATGTCCTAAAAGTTCATCCATGTTGTAGTATTGACAGGATTTCCTTCTTTTTTCTTAAGGCTGAATAATATTTCATTATCTCTATATACGACATTTTCCTTATCCAGCCATCTGTCAATGGACGTTTAGATTGCTCCCACCTATTGGATATTGTGAATAATGCTGCAATAAACATGGGTGTGCAAATATCTCTTGAAGATCCTGTTTCCATTTTCTTTTGGATATGTACCCAGAAGTGGTATGGCATGGTAATTCTTTTATTTTTTGAGGAACTTCTGTATGTTTTTTAATAGCAGCTACACCATTTTACATTCCCGACCTTGCACAAGGGTTCCAATTTATTAATATCCTTGTCAACACTTGTTATTTTCTGTATGTTTGATAATGGTCATTTTAACAAATGGGAGGTGATAATCTCATTGTGGTTTTGATTTGCACTTTCTGATGATTACTGATGTTGAACATCTTTTCATCTGCTTGTTAGTGATTTGTATGTCTGAAAAAATGTCTCTTGAAGTCCTTTGCTTATTTTTCTTGTTGAGTTGAAGGAGCTCTTTATATTCTGGATGTTAACCTGTTATCAGATATGTGGTTTGCAGTATGTATTTTCTCCCATTTTGTAGGTTGCCTTTTTAGTATGTTGCCTTTGCTGGGCAGGAGTTTTTACATTTGATGTACTCCCAATTTGTCTATTTTTGCTTTTGTTGCCTGTGCTTTTGCTATTATATTGAAGAAATCATTGCCAAATCCAATGTCATGAAGCTTTTTTCCTCTGTTTTCTGGTAGGAGTTTTAGAAGTTTCAGGTCTTAAGTTTACGTCTTTAATCCATTTTGAATTAATCTTTGTGCTGTATATAAGGTAAGGGTCCAGCTTCATTCTTTGGCATGTGGATATCCGGTTTTCCTAGCACCGTTTGTTGAAGAGACTGTCCATTTCCATTGAGTCATCTTGGTACCCTTGTTAAAGATCCCTTGATACCATATATGCCAGGGTTTATTTCTGGGCTCTTTGTTTTATTACATTGGTCTATATGTCTGTCTTAATGTCAGAACTATCCTTTTTGGATTACTACAGCTTTGTAATAGGTTTTGAAGTCAGAAAGTGTGAGACCTTCAATTTTGTTTGTCTCATTTGAGATTGTTTTGGCTATTCAGGGTTCTTTGAGATTCCATATGAATTTTAGAATAGATTTTTCTATTTCTACAAAAAATGTCATTGTGATTTTGATAGATATTGCATTGAATCCGTCTTTGAGTAGTATTGACAACCTAATAAGTTGAAGTATTCTAACCTCTGAACATGGCTTTTCTTTCCATTTATTTGTGTCATCTTTTAGCAGTGTTTTGTAGTTTCAGTTTACAAGTGTTTTGCCTCTTTGGTTAAATTTATTCCTAAGTATTTTATTCTTTATGATGCTATTGTAAATTGGATTTTTCCTAATTTCCTTTTTATCATTTTCTATATGACTTTTAACTGATCACTTTAATTTTGATAGTGTTATTTATTTCATTTGACTTCACACCTTGTAGTACCTTTAACATGTAATAGACACAAAGTATATGCTTGCTAAAGTGAAATACCTTGTAATTTGTCTGCAAAGCAGTTTTTCATTAAAGTAATTCTCTAGAAATTAACCAGGGCTACTTTTGTTCTAGGCACCTGAATACTGGTATACTTGGATTGTTTAAACCTTTATGCAGTGTGCATCTTCTTTTTTTTTTTTTTTTTTTTTTTTTTTTTGAGACAGAGTTTCGCTCTTGTTACCCAGGCTGGAGTGCAATGGCACGATCTCGGCTCACCGCAACCTCCGCCTCCTGGGTTCAGGCAATTCTCCTGCCTCAACTTCCTGAGTAGCTAGGATTACAGGCACGTGCCACCATGCCCAGCTAATTTTTTGTATTTTTAGTAGAGACGGGGTTTCACCATGTTGACCAGGATGGTCTCGATCTCTTGACCTCGTGATCCACCCGCCTCGGCCTCCCAAAGTGCTGGGATTACAGGCTTGAGCCACCGCGCCCTGCGCATCTTCTTTTTAAAAAAAAGCTGGCTATGCTCTCCCTATTTCATCTACCTCCTGCAGAATTAAGATTGAAATTTCTCTGCAGTTCATTCTGGCAGTATTAGCTATCTCTTTTTCCCTATTAATGCACATATCCGGGGGTACTTATTATATTTAAATAATCACAAGTTTTGGGCTGGAAAAGAAGAGATTGTTAATGCATTTTCTTTGGTTTACAAGTGAGGAGCTTGAGAGTTTTATTTGTTTGATTACCGAGTTGGTGGCACAGTTGGGAGTAGAATCTATTCCAGAACAGTTTACACTGTCACACAGTTTTCTCAGGTTTAGAATATGAAGAAATAATATTGATTGCAATTATGTTAGGTGATTGAAACAAAATATATTGCTGATTCTAGATCATTGGAAGCTAACTACTTTTATTTGTGTATTTGAATTTACATAGGTAGACTTTGCAAGATTAGATTTTAAAAAAAAAATTAGGACCTTTTAACTGATAAGAAAAACAAAACCTTAATTCTTTGATTTTCCTGCCAGTTTTCTCTGCTTCTTCACTTGGGGTAGAGAAAAAGCAAACTGCAGACTATGCACTACATGCTGCTATTTGTGTGAAATTTTAGAAGACAATGTAATACTATATATTGGTAAAAGATGCACATGTAGTAAGAGCATAAACATGTGAGAATAATAAACACTGAATTCAGCATAATAGTTACCTCTGGAAGGGGAAGTATAGAGGGGGCACAGAGGACTTCAGCATTATTGATAAAATTACTTAAGTTGGGTAGCAAGGACACAAATATATATTATTTGTGTTAGTCCATTTTCATGTTGCTGATAAAAACATACCCCACACTGGGTAACTTATAAAGAAAAAGAGGTTTAATGGATTCACAGTTCTACATGGATGGCGAGGCCTCACAGTCATGGCAGAAAGTGAAAGGCGCGGCAGGCAAGAGAGAAAATGAGAACAAAGCAAAGGGGGTTTCCCCTTATAAAATCATCAGATCTTATGAGGGTTACTCACTACCGTGAGAACAGTATGGGGGCAATTGCCCCCATGATTCAGTTGTCTCCCACCGGCTCCCTTCCACAACATGTGGGAATTATGGGAGCTACAATGTAAGATGAAATTTGGGTGATGACGCAGCCAAACCATCTCATTTAGCCCATGGCTCTTACCAAATCTCATGTCCCCACATTTCAAAACCAATCATGCCTTCCCAGCCACCCCCAGTCTTAACTCAGTTCAGCATTAACTCAAAAGTCCACAGTCCAAAGTCTCATCTGAAACAAGGCAATTTCCTTCTACCTGTGATCCTATAAAATCAAAAACAAGTTAGTTACTTTCTAGGTATGATGGGGGTATGGACATTGGATAAAAACACCCATTTCAAATGGGAGAAATGAGCCAAAATGAAGGGGCTGAAGGCCCCATGCAAGTCTGAAATCCAGTGGGGTAGTCAAATCTTAAAACTCCGGAATGATATCCTTTGACTGCATGTTCACCCCCAGGTTACACTAAAGCAAGAAGTGGGTTCCCTTGGTCTTGGGCAGCTGTGCCCTTGTGGCTTTGCAAAGTGTAGCCTCCCTCTCGGCTGTTAATCATGGGCTGGCATTGAGTGTGAGCAACTTTTCCAGGTGTGTGGTGCAAGCTACCGGGGGATCTACCATCTGGGATCTGGAGGACAGCAGCTTTCTTCTCATAGCCCCACTAGGCAGTGCCCCAGTGGGGACTTTATGTGGAGGTCACACGCCACATTTTCCTTTTGCACTGCCCTAGCAGAAAAGTTCTACATGAAGGCTCTGATCCTGCAGCAAACTTCTGCCTCCATACATCCTCTGAAATCTAGGCAGAGGTTCCCAAACCTCAGTTCTTGACTTCTGTGTACCCACAGGCTCAACACCATGTGAAAGCTGCTAAGGCTAAGGGCTTGCACCCTCTGGAGCTGCAGCCTGAGCTGTACCTTGGCTCCTTTTAGCCATGACTAGAGTGGCTGTTATACAGGCCACTAAGTTCCTAGGCTACACACAGTAGGAGGGCCCACAAAACCATTTTTTCCTCCTAGGCCTCAAGGCCTGTGATGGGTGGGGCTTCTGTGAAGG